TCAAGTACTAAACTTTGCTGCTTGACTCTTCTTGCACAGTTTGTGCTATGGACATGATTTTCATCACACCACGTGGCTTAATATCCATCCATTTGTCTATGTGTGTATAGTTTATTCAAAGTATATAATGCTCTTACAGCCTTTTTAAAACCTTTTTGGTTACCCTTACCAAAAAGTAGTATACTGTACTAATAGCACACTTGAATAAACTTCTTTTTCGTAAGGGTAAGCCAGCATTGATTGTTTTGACAAGCCATTTTATTAGTATTATCTAACTTTATTCATATTCTATAATATCATCATTTATCTTCCTTCACAATTGTTCTATATATAATTAACAATTGCGATATAATTAAATCTAGTTAATGATCTTTGTTCATTGCAAACAGCTGACTTTTCATTATCAAGAAGTATCATTATCAAGAAGTTTGAAGAGACCCACACAGTGGAGAACAGAGGCAGGAAGTGAAAGATTTCAAAAACTTTGTAAAGAAAACTATTGAGAGAGGTTTCTAAAGACCTAAGAACAACTGCCAAGACACGAATGATTTAGTCAAGTCTGGGATTGATATCTCAACGAAGACGGACACTAGAGGCCCGGACAGGAATGGACTGCGAGGTTGCAGACCCAGAAAAACTCCTCTTTTGAAGAAGAGACACTTCCAAGCTAGACTGAAGTTTGAAGTATGAATACTAGAAACGTGTCCTTTGGTCAGATGAGACAAAAATAGAGCTCTTTGGCCATAGAGATGTTGCCAATGTATGGAGAAAGAAGGGACAGGTGCTCAACCCAAAGAACACCGTTTCCAGAGTGAAACATGGAGGAGGGAGCATAATGCTGTGAGGATGTTTCAGTGCGTTTGGAACTGGGAATCTCATCAGGGTCAAAGGAATCATGAAAACGAAAGACTAAGAGAAGATTTTGAAAGACAGCCTCAGGCAATCTGCAACAAAAGATGGTTTGGGTCGACATTTTGTATTCCAGCATGAATGGAAAATCTGTGGGGCACACTAAAGACCAGAGTCCATGCCAGGAGACCAACAAATCTGGAGGAGCTTGAGAGGTTTGCTTAGGAGGAATGGGCTGCGACTCCTCAGGAGACATGCCTGAAACTGGTTGAGAACTACAACAAATGACTAAAGGCTGTTATCAAGCAAAATGAATACACCATTGACTATTAACATCAGAGGGCTAATAATTTTGACCTGTAGACTTTTTTTTATTCTTGGTTATAATTTTGTTTCTATTTGTATTACAAACATTCCAAGCTTCCTAAATAAACTATTATGTTTAGAAATGCTGTGTTACACACACCCACACACACACATATATATATATATATGTATATGTATATGTATATATACAGTATATATATATATATATATATATATATATATGTATGTATGTATGTGTTTATATATATATATATATATATCCAAACATAGCTTTGTTTGAATGGTGATGATGCCCCTAAAAACCACCAACAGTGTTTCCAATGAAGTGAATTAGATGTGTGTGTGTGTGTGTGTGTGTGTGTCTCAAAGAGAAACTGAAATCCTCTTTATTGAGCACTACAGTATAGCAAAGGAGGTTGCTGGTGTGCTGTGTGTGTATGGGTGCGCGTGTGTATGTGTGTGGTTCCCAAACCAAGAGAAGAGAGCTTTTGTACAGGCTGAGAAAAAAGTTGACATTTGAGAATTAGAAGAGGGGGAGTCTGGAAGAAAAAAGGAGCCATTGTGCCCCTGGCATTGGTGCCCTCTGAAGAAACACACACATACACACACGCTTACTTACACATTGTGAAACAGGAAGTGTGAATATTGGGTGATGGTCAACATTATAGTTTATTCTGTTCTGTAAACAAGCACTAAAGATAAGAGGGGTCTGTCTTGTCCTTTTGAAATGTCTCTCAGAAAATGAACATTTTGTCATTCCCCGTCATATTGTGGAAAACCAGTATGATGTTGTTTTTTCTGTAAAACACAAAAGGAAAATCTTATTTGCATTACCATTCAGATTAAAAAATGGCACGGCAAAGCGCCACAGCACAGGTTTTACATGTTTGACAGTAAACACCATTGTTCTTACATATCTAATGCTTTTTTTATGTGACCAATGATATATATATACAGTGTATATATATATATATATATATCAATTTTTATTTATTTCAAATTTTATTTCAAAATCAATTGTAATTTATGTAATATTTTGTTTATTTACCCTATGGATGTGGTCTCTCCAACTCCTTCTCCATTAATCTTCTCCATTACTTCATCTGCTAAAAAGAGCTTTGTAACAATAACTTTGGGATGTGTTTTAAGCTCAATTATTTGTCCTGAGTCACACCTTAAGCAGTAGCATTGTGTTGCCCCACCTGTATTTCATGAGTTATGACCAAAACAAGACCTTCAGTCAGAAGTTAAGCAGGGAGTCAGGATACATGACATGATCACAAGCTCAGACAAGCACAAACTACGCCCATACTTACATCCCGTGAATGTAACTTTGTGGTGCTTTTGATGCAACATGTTGTTTTAGAGGGATGGTTCTTATCAGACTGGCAGCATGCTCTCAGGACATGAATATAAAAATATAAAAAAAAACAAAAAAGTTTTGTGGTTTCAAGAGACTGGAAACGAGCAGACTGGTTTTAATAGGGTAAAGTCAGGTAAGCTGTATCATTTTGTTTTAAATTGTCCTCTAGACAAGTAGAAATGATATGGGTTAAATGAATACACGCAAAACAAAATTCTAAATCTAAAATTAAAGGATCATTATTAGTAGTAGTATTAAATATAGAATTGTTAGAACTTATGGCTGCCAATTTTTTAAATATTGTGTGTGTGTATATATATATATATATATATATATCAAAATTGGAAAGCAGCCATAATCTAATCTTTTTGTTAATGATTGACGAAAAAGATGATTTATCATGTGGTCAAACACTGACCTTCGTACCATATAAAACCATGCTTAAACATGATATTTAAGGATATAAATTGTAGTTCAGCAGTAGATCCTGTTCAGTATTAACGCTGGGAGGCGAGAAAACAGGTGATAAGAGAAAAACTGAGCTCACAGGTCAGGTGAATTATTCACTCAGCCTCTCTCAGTGTCCTGTCAGAGGATCTGTCTTCACATTAAGTTTATGACTGGGTCATTTTATTATCATTGATAAAAAGAGCTTTGTAACAGTAGTTTTGGGATGTTTTTTAAGCTCAGTTATATGCTACACCTTAATCAGCAACAAAAACTCTTACAGTTTTTTTGTTAATATTTTGAATTAGATTTTATTTTTATATTTCCTGTTTTGATTTTAGTTAAGGTTTTAGCAATTTTGTTGTGCTTTTTGTCATGTTTATTAGCTTTCATTTTTTTAATATATATTTTAAATGTTTTAGTTTTAGTTACTTTAATACTTCCAAGTTCAACTAAATGAAAACGAGAAATGTTGCAATGACAACTAGCTGAAATAAAATTGGTTTTTTAGATTTTATTTCAGTTTATGTTTATTTTAAGTAATGAAAAAGTTGTTTTTTATGGTTTTAGTTACTGATAAAAACCCTGGTTCATGCCCAACTCTTTTCAGTGTCTGTAGTTTTTTCATTTCCTTTTTTTTTTTTTTTTTTTTTTTTTTTTATGTAACATGTTGCAGCAGTAAAACCTCTTCCTTGATTCTTCTGGTCTCCACCCAGGTCCATTTGTCTCAAAGTTTTTGTTTGGGGTGGAAACATTTGCTTATTATTTTCTGCAAAATTACAGAGTGTATGAACACATTAAAGATGTCTGCTAACAAAGATTATGCTGGCCTTTTTTTTTACCTGCTTTGCAAATTTTCCCTGACCCCCACCATGAAAAAAACACATATATTTATATTATACTTTTATTACTTTTTTATGTTAAATTATTGCTGTATTTTTCATTAAAATAATTTTCATGCATTTTTCATATTATTTAATATAAAAATAATTTAAAAAGTCCATACATATTTTTAATTGTTTATTATTATAAAATCAATATTTTTTTAAATACTGTTGTATTTACACTGTGCAATAATAGTTAGAATTATTACAGTTGTAATGTAACTCCAAAAGCTTGTATAGAAGTTTCTTGTCTGCTAACAAAGTTTGTAGGTTCAGTCGGGATGACCATAATTTTTGTTAAATGTGAGCCAAAATCATCACAATTAAAAGAACCAAAGACTTAAACTACTTCAGTCTGTGTGCATTGAATTTATTTAATACACGAGTTTCACAATTTGAGTTGAATTACTGAAATAAATGAACTTTTCCACGACATTCTAGTTTATTGAGATGCACCTGTAGTTACTGAGATCTTAGTCCTGCTTGATCACCATCTAATCACCAAACCATGTATTGCTCCTAAGATGCTGTTCCAGCAAATAAGTTTAAATGAACAGTAAAAAAACAGTCTTTACAGTCAGTAGAAGCTGTTATCTCTTGGCTCTCGACAACTCCAACAGTTACTGTAACCTATGTAAAGATTACCACAGAGTTTTGAATAATACTCTTTTTTTTTGTTCATGTTTGATGAATATGTCTATAAAAATTCACCATTCCAGTCTGCTTAATGCAAATCATACTGCAAGCTAATCAGATAAAATATCTTTGGATTTGCATAGTGTATTTTGATCAAATTGCACACACATTGTAAAGTGCTGTTCACACAGAGCTCGAGTCCGTTTGCTAGTCTTTCCCATGGTTGCTAATGCTGCACAACACTGCTAATCTATTCGTGGACTGAGACAAAAACACCTAAGTAAGAGAAGAAAATGATTAAGGACTAAATCGTGTTAGTTCGTCTCTAAACAACTCCCGTGATCCGCTGCAAAAAGAGATCGCTAAGTGTCTTTGCGTTAGCTTGCCGCTATTGAATTAGCTGTTATTTTGAACTGAGAGGACACTCAGACAGCCAGACGATTTTGAGTGACACGCTTATGTTTTACATTAACAGAGTTTTCTCTGTGTTACAGGATGAGAATAAGAAGGCATAAAGTCTTCCTGTTGTGCTTACTGGGGATTTGTGTCATTTCCTTCCTTCATTACTACAAAGCCCTGCACAATATTTCACTGCTGCAGGAGCTCTCCGCTCCTTCCACCCATCTAAAGTCTCTGAAGATGTTCAGTGATATCTTCTGGAATTTTCCGGCTGCTGACTTCCACAGCCACCTGAAGGTAGAGTCAAAAGGGAACGTCTCGAGGTCTAAGGGTTTCAGTCTGAACTCTTAGCCTGTTACCTGACCTGAAAACTCATTGGGTTTTGGGCAAGGTTTTAATGTGTCACTTGGGGTCTGTGTTGAGTTTTAAATGTAACGTGTTTTACACAGAAACCAAGCAATTTTGTCTTAGGCCTTAAAATTGGACTATACCGGTTGGGTCACGTAGTCTTGTTTACAGACTTTAACAAGCTATATATAAGCTATATATATCTTGGGCATAAGCTGAAGTCTGTAAACAAGACCATGTGACCCAACCGGTTCGATTAACCCTTAAATGCATACCTCGGGTCTTTAGCGACCCGGTACATCATTCTCTACACTCTCCCTCCTTCATTTTTTAAAGTTAGACATCAACTTTATTAGTATTCCTCAAACTATTCATTATAAACATAGAAAAAATAGTAAAATATAAAAGAATGCCTGTTTTCTGATAAATTTTTTGTAAAAAAGTGTATAGGGTCGCTAGAGACCCGAGGTATGTAAATGTGTAAGTATTTTTTTCTGCGCAACTATATGTGACCCGGCACCACAAAACCAGTCTTAAGTGTCCATTTTTCAAAATTGAGATTTATACATCATCTGAAAGCTGAATAAATAAGCTTTCCATTTATGTATGGTTTGTTTGTCGACAATATTTGGTCGAGATACAACTATTTGAAAATCTGGAATCTGAGGGTGCAAAAAAATCTAAATATTGAGAAAATCGCCTTTAATGTTATCCAAATGAAGTCCTTAATGCATATTAATAATCAAAAATTAAGTTTTGATATATTTACGGTAGGAAATTTACAAAATATCTCCATG